ACTAGCCCTGAAGCTGCTGGTAGACATCGCGGTTGGAATTATCAAAGGTTTTTGACACCTGAGAGACACCGTAGCTACTCCTTTGCATTTGGAGGGTGGGGGTGGGGGTGGGGGGAGGACCAGGGAAGATGATTCAACCACTCAACCACCAGATGTCGCTGAAAAAAACAAATCCTACACACTGTGCCTTTAATATTTTTTGTGCTGCGACAGAGGACAGTCATTCTCAYTAGTGTAATATACTTTACTCCTTATTATGTTTACTTTTGTTCATAGCTTTGCATCTTCTTTTCTTGAAATTGAAAAASGCAAATGTAGCTATGGACATGGTAGCTTTGTAACAATCTGACTCAGATATTTTCCTGGAGTCAGAATGTCCACCACTGTTTTGATAATGTGCTCATTTGTGAAGACAGTGTCTGTCTGAYAGAAACTGCCCAAATGGAAAGAAAAACATCTTCAACTACAGAACAAAAAACAGCTATTTGTTTGAGAAAACTTTACGTCTACGTCGATGTGCTTGGTTTGTGAGTGGTCCGTCCACAATAGCGGATTCTTCACTTCTGTCAGTGTCTTCCAGAGTCACTGTATGGCACAGTGAACATACCATGATAACGCAGTAATTTTGGTATGTTCACTGTGCCATACAGTGACTCTGGAAGACACTGACAGAAGTGAACATACCAAGATAACGCAGTAATTTTCCCAGCAGGTATCCTCTTGAGCTGCTTGACCAAGAGCAACATACTAGTATGCTTGTTTCTTGCTTAATCAGCTCACTGGCCCTTCACAATAGAAACATTTTGCCACTTGTTAAACTAGTGGTTCCCAACCTTTTTAGACTTGTGTACCCCGAGTCATTTTGTGATACCACTAGTACCACTTCAGTCAAATGTAATGATGATTTTCCAAAACTACTATAATGTTCAACAACTGATTATTAAAGGAAAATTATTAATTTGACCCCCTTGAATGTTTAATTCTCAGGCATTTTATTCTTTTCAACTCAAAGTAAACATAAAGATAAAAACATTGCCTTGAAAGTGAATAAGAAATTAAATAAATAAACCAGGTAATGGCAGGCGCAGAAAACAGCAGCGTCCAAAATACATCAGAAACTCACCCAAATGAGTAAATTCGGTGAGATTCCATGTTTTYTACTGGATTCCATTTTGTGGTAATTCCGTGATTCCGTAGGGCCCRACATAGCTCAGTACAATTTTCATTATTGTTTTTTTACACYCCTGAGAAWTTTTTTCGCGTACCCCAAGGGGTACACGTACCCCTGCTTGGGAATAAATATGGGAATCAGTATGGTCGCTCAGCAGCCAACCGGATGACCGCACGTCACATGGTTGTTTGGCGTTCATTTTCACACACACCTTTCATAGCTCCTGAGACACACCGTGATGAGCTCCTGCTGCAGTATAGGTCACTGAATGGGGTTTCTTCCTGCTGGAGTCTACAATGCAGAAATTTTTTTWAAAAAAATCAGAGACCCATCACCCAATGTTGTTTGTGCACAAATCTGTCCTGGTTAAAAGCTCCACAGTTTTTATCAGACAGATTCCCCTGTGGACAACATCTAATTAGTCTCCATCGATGAGTTTGACTAGCTTTATCAGTGTCTGCTTCTGGGTAGCCTACAACAGTCGACGTCTGAAAATGAGTTGGGTTTTTTTAAGCGAGTGGTTGAAGCAAAACGCAGCTCCTGAGCGCTTTTAGCATAACAAACACTCCCACAAACTTCTGACCAATCACACAATAAGTTCCTTTGTGGAGCGGGGTAAAAATCTTCGGCCTGTGGGTTGCGARAAGAAGGTGCCAAATTATTGACAATGTGTACAGAACGATGCAATTTTTGTCCTGAAAACTGCAACAGTCCAGTCTGATTTCGACAGTTTGAATGCAGCATGCTGCGCGTTTAGATCCTCATTTCAACAGGGCAGTTCTCACCACCGCTGCACCTGTTACCCTTTATACACACAGTCTTAGTAAATTGCATGCAACTTGTACCACTGACTATTTTGTAATTTGCTCATGGTATTTGGTAATGGTTATCTGCTGTCTTGATAAATCGAGGCCACAATTTACAAATTACTGCTTCATATTTCAACACTTATAAACACTTTATTTTGGCCAACTGCTTTTAAAATCTATTGTCAATAATAAAGWATTATAAAATGTAACTGCATACATATCACCTCAGACAGACGTGTAACGGAACTCCAGTTTGTCTTTTTCTATTGCTGCATTTGCTTCAATACGTTTAAAGTTTGATGCCACACKGTTTTGTTTGTGTACATGTATGTGTGTTCACAGGGAGACTATGCAGCTGCCAGGATGTATTACCAGCAGGCCCTGCTTTTAAGTCCTGGTTCCAAGCTTTTGATGGAAAACTTGGCCAAGCTGGACCGGCTGGAGAAGAGACTGACAGGAGGAGCATAACCACAACATTTACCGATTCTCCCATGTCCTCCACGCAAGTCAGTGGAAATAGATGCCCTCTGTCCCATGGAAGCCCAAACTTTAGCAACCAGGCTGTTAAATCATCTGCTAGCATCTTCTTCTAAACACAGCAGGCCTGAGTGAGGGCAGATGGGGAACATGTCCTATCAGGACTGCCACAAGTTAGGCTGCGGAGAGTCAAAAACACCAACAAAGCGACAGTCCAGAATCAACACCAATGAAGCTACAGTCCAAAATCGCTTGTGCTCAACAAAATAAAGATGACTAAAAGCATTGTCTACATTAGCTTTACTTTGCCATCCAGATCTGCACATAATCACATCATGTTGTTCCTGATGTTTATGAAAAGCCATTTCCTTAATTGTACTTAATTACAGATTGTAATACAGTCTTCTGCTTTATTTTTATTTTTTTATCTACTTATAACCAATGGTTCTTTGATTACTGTGTTCTCAAGAAGGGCTGGCCTGTGAAACCTTAAAAAATAAGCTGTTCCAAGCTCTGAGATTTGTTTTCCCTTGTGTTAAATAAACTTTAACAACAAATTTTTCTTTAATAATTTATTATAAATATGCACTTCAAATTCTTCACCATGTATTTAAAAGAAAACATTGCTTCACTCACATTTATTTACAGCACCAGTTCAGCACACAGACTCTTCTCGGAGTTGAACTGGATGCTCCACTCTCCATCCAGTTCAACTTAAAAATTTAGAATACTGTGAAAAAGTTTTTTTTTTTTTTGTAAATCAGTTCAGAAAGCAAAACTCATATATTTCATAAATTCATTACACATTGAGTGAACTATTTCAAGCTTTTATTTTTTGTAATTTTGACAACTATGGTTACAGTATTTCAGAAAATTACAAATTACATAGCCAGCTTTTGGTAACCTTGGCAGTGTGGACAGGTGAAATGTCCTGCTGGAAAATGAAATCAGCATTTCCATAAAGCTTGTCAGCAAGAAAAAGAAAGCTCCAGCAGAACCAGGCTCAGGACAGGCGGTCATCTGCCTCGACCGGCTGGGTTTGGAGGACGGGAAAGAGACACAGACAAACACAGGACTGGTCCGGGTGTATTTACATTGTATTTATAGAAATAATTACAACCAACATGTCAAGTAAAGTGAATAAAGAGTAAAATGTGGACAGCCAGTCCACAACAGCAAAACCAAAGGATAACTCGGGAAACTAAACCTAACTGACTAATCAGAAAGGAAAGTCTGTTATATCCTCCACTTAGGCTGAATCTGTTCCTGTTAAATGTATTTTTGGCACAACTTTGCACGTCCTTTATCAAACTGCGTGCACATGGACGTAACAATTGTTTCCCAGAATCACCTCTTAAGTGTCGCCAATGGAACCAAAACCACAGAAACGTGCGTACACCAGCCCTGGAGTTGGCGTGGGGCTGCACACAATTCCACGTTCATTTCAGTTTTGATACATCCGGAGTTTTGCGTTGAAAATGGCGAGGTTTTTGTGCGTACACACTCTAAAAATGAAATGTTGGATTTACTTAACCATGTTATGTTACCTGGTTCCACTTAACTGAGTTGAGTAAATTCAAAGCAATATACCAGTTTTTTAGCCAAAGAACATGAGTATGTTGCTTTGAATTTACTCAACTAAGTTAAGTGGAACCAGGTAACATAACATGGTTAAGTAAATCCAACATTTCATTTTTTACAGTGCATGAGGCCCCAGACTGGTCACAGGTTCCTTTTCACCTGTGGAAATCAGACAAAAATCATAGTCAGTTCAAACATTGTTTAATCCAGAGGAGCAGAAGTAAATTAGATGTTAAATAATTTTTGTTTCTCTAAAATGTAAGGAGTAAAAAGTACAGATAATTGCATAAAAATGCAAGGAGTAGAAGTAAAAATTTGTCTAAAAATAATTACTCCAGTAAAGTATAAATACCCAACATTTCTACTTATTTAACTTAACAAGGTATTTGTACTTAATAACACCTCTGTACTAGCCTGGTAAAAACCAGACACTTGTCCTTCACTTTGCTTCTAGAACTGAGCAGAACTGCGTAGGAAGGCTACATCTGTACTACAGTCATAATAAATATTGTAATTGTAAGCTTTAATGAATTCTCTGTGTACACAAGTGCTAACTGCATAACATTATAGACAAATTGTGTATAAGTTAATGTTAAAATCTCATCATTTGATATCTTTTATCTATGGATGACCTGATGCATCTCAGTAATCCAGGCAAAAAATCAAAAAGAAAAAAAATTGTATAGGTCTTCTGGACGGGTTCTTCTC